TAGAGTGGGAGAGAGCCAAAGCATAAGGGACTGTTGAGAACTGAGAACAAACTAAGGGTTGATGGGGGGTGGGAGGGAGGAGAGGGTGGGTGATGGGTATTGAGGAGGGCACCTTTTGGGATGAGCACTGGGTGTTGTATGGAAACCAATTTGACAATAAATTTCATATATATATAAAAAAAAGAGGTAGTGTGTAGAGTACAGTTCATACATAGTAAATGCTCAAAATGGAGCAATTATTGCTAATTTTTTAGAGGTAAGGAAAGTGAAATTTCAGGTTCAATGTAAATTATTTTCTTTTACTATTTATTCAGCTAACATTTCCCTTGGTATCTGAAAGACAAGCAATAGAGTTTAGGGATATAAAATATTTCCTTATATGTGATAGTAGAAGAATTGGCCATTATTCCTGTTAAAACTCAGTTGGATACTACTATAAACCAGAGTTTTATCACTGTATCTTCATATAACAACTTGGGCTAATTGTGTCCAAGCATTTAAGGCATCCTTTTTGATATTATGATAAAATTGGGTCTGTAACTGATGGCTCAAGCAGATATTGAATAGTTGGATTTAATGACCCACTCCATCACTTGAAAATATATATTAAGTATCCACTACATAATCCAGCACTGTGTTAAGATGATTTGGGAGACAGAAGAAATATGTGCTAGCATCTGCTCTCAAAGATACTGCAAATGTGGTCTTGACAATGATTTGGGATTGAACTGATTGAGAGTTACATGGACCTACCAATCTGCAGCTATTACAGTAACAACAGTAAGTCATTCTTCCTATGGAAATAGAATGCCCTTTGTATTTTCAGCATGCTTTGCTCATATTAACTGCTTAATTCCCTATATGTGTAAGGAAATAAGAGGTTATTTATCCCTATTAAACAAGGATGGACAAATCTGAGTTTGAAACACATGTATGATTTTCCAAAGTCCGGTGGAGGCAAAGTCAGGATTAGAGGCTAATTTCGCCTCAGTTTTTCCTCAGATGTCAGCCCCCAACACATTAGAGCTTTGCTGGACACTACAAAGTGGTGTGGTTGGAAAGAACACTGAACTCAGAATCAGAAATCATTGTTGTTTAGGGTTTGGGTGGTAACTGAGTATCTCAGTTCTCATCACCCCTGAGGATGAATTTGAGAATTAAATGGAACATAGATGTAAAAAAAAAACCAAACATCTGGAACTAACTAGTTGCTCAATAAATATCACTAGCTTAATGCTATTCTACTATCTCTAGAATTAAAACACTAGTACTTTTAAAGTATCACATTCTGTTCTAATTTATATCGAGCCAGTAAAAGACTTTCCTTCCCTTTCCATTAGATCGGATTTCAGACTGTGTGTGTGTGTGCGTGTGCACATATGCGTGTGCAGGTGTGTGGGTGTGTGTCTTGTTTGTTTTTTAGTAGCGCTTTTTCTGGACTTGTATGGAAACTCAGTGTCTGTGAGCATCTTTGGAACCGAAGGGATGAGGGATTTTTATTTTGTTCCTGGGATTTTACTGAATTCATCCTTCCACCAGTATAATTTTGGCAGATTTGGTCTTCAAGACAGCAACACAAACAGTAAGAAATAGAGTAGTTCCAAGAAGAGAAAATAAAATAGTATAGTAACTAAATGTAGGCTTGGGAATGAGAGTAACAGTGCAGGGTAGAGCAAGGACTTTGGCTGCCGAAAGGAATCATGACCCAGAAGTGGGAGTGAGTGACAGGCCCGGGTGAAACTCAGCAGCAAGTCCAGAAAGGATCTGGATACAGACAGCCCAACCCAAGATAGGATTACAAATATGTGTTCACTACAAAGCAGTTTAGAGTAAAGACAAAGAAAGGAAGAGGTAAGGACAACCTCATAAATCTGCAATAGGATCAAGTCAGAAAGTCAAAAAACAAGGGACAAAGACATTTATTTTACACACAATGAAACCATTAATTGTAAAGTCTCGTGCACGTGCACACCCACACTCACATATATTTTTAACAGAAGTGGTGTAGTTTGAAAGAATTTATAGCTCTCTCCTTACTAGCAGAGTCAAATTTTTTACTCTTTTCCAAGTAAAATTCTGTTGGGGATCTAAGAACAATTATTAAAGTTAAAAGATATTTAAGCACTCTAATTGAAAGTCATTTATTCACCCAAAGGCCAAGTACAACACTGGCAGGCAGAATATTTGATTCCCCTTCCAGCCGTACCAATATATTCTGCTTCATAATAATGCAGATAAAGCGATGTGTCTTGCAGCAAAAAAGTGATTCTGTTTCCACGGTAACATAACTCTGGGCTGCGTTTCTTTAGTGGTGAAGGACAGCTGCTCTGTCTAATGGATGTGGGTTTGAAGGGATGATTAGGAGTGGAGGGAGGACTGAGCCAAGACCAGTGAAGGTAATTTCACTTCAGGCTGCCTGTCACAAAAGCACCAGAACGCTATAAAATAAATATAACTTTCGTGTGCTTTTTAAAAAGATTCTAAAACCCAAGAATTTCTGCATTGGCTTTCCCCAAAAGCAATCTCCATGCAGAGGAGAAAAAGTTATCTCCTCTACAAACAACTCCCCAAAATATCGACCATATTTTATGTCCTGATGTCATTTTTCCAGTGTTGCACATTGTTGCTTTCACTAATGTAAATATATTCATGCTTCTTGGTCCACCTCATCTTTACGTCCAGACCCTCATGTCCATCCCCAAGATATACCATACCATACAATTTGGCCTCTCTATTATTCTGACCCCACTCCAAGATGAATTTCCCCTACAGGGCAGTAAACCAAGGTAAAGACAGTGACACTCAAGAGATCTCCTTGTCCAAGGCTTTGGCTTAGGAAAATAGCATAAAAGGGAATGAAGTAGTTACTCCATCCTGGTTTTACAATTTAATGAGTGACTATTTCACACCACGCACTTTGGTAGGTACTGCAGGTACAGAGAACCAAGGCTTCCCTCAAGAAACTTATAAAGGCCAGTGAAAGTAAACTCCCATTTGCCAGACTTTGTATAAAACACAGGGGGACACCTATTCTGCTCTTGAACAATTTCCATAACAGCCTGCCCCTGAAATAGGAGCTCTGAATGAGTACAAAGCATAGAGACACGCTGAGGGAGTAAGGTCTGTTCACAAGCTGCAAGTGGTTCTCACATGGCTGGACAGGGCCATAGAACTTAGGCAAAGTTCCAGAAGAGGCTGTATTTTTTTTAGGCAGGGGCTAAATCATGAAAGACTGTGTGTGTCA